GTGGTGTTTTCAATTCAAACATGCTTGCCCAACTTAATCTAATTGGGTAACAATTCTGCAGAGCTTTACGATGGATATTTCAGCATTGTGACGTTTAAAGATGCCAATGGATGTAACAAAACAGCAGGAAAGGAGTCTGGAAGCCATTAGACTATTTTTACAATTCCCAGTAGTTTCGTAGCAAGAAAACAGCAAAGCAGAGCTGGTTTGAGATTGTGACTGGGAATGGAGAGAGGGGCAAGGGAATAAATAAGAATTTTCTGATCCCACTTTTGGCTTTCAAGATGCCCAAGGCTGTCAACTTTGCTAAGGAACGTGGCATGTACCTGGCACACAAGAGCCTGGAAGCATCTGCAGTACACATAATGCTTGTGTCAAGCCACTGAGGAGAGCAGCATCCAGGCACTGTGTGAATGGCATGCTCAGTCAAGGCCGTTGTGAACATGGAATGAGTTAACCAATACATTTTACCAGCCTCGCCACCTTGGATGTCTTTGCTTTCCAAAAAAATGGGTTAGTGATGTTGGGGGGAAAAAAAAAACAAACAAAACAGCTGCGTTCCACACCTCCCCCAGCCCTGCAGTCCAATTTCACAAAAGGTATCTGCCTACACACTATACTGACACAGGACGAGGTCTATACACACGCACGGAAAAACAACAAAAAAAAACAAAACAAAAAAACAGGACACAGCACTTACATCCAAATGTGTTACAAAGGAGGCAAAGAGGTGAGCAGAAGAGCCAGAAGCACAGCTGGGTGAGCGTTGGCACATGTACAAAGTGAGACAGGAACAGGCTGCTGCAAGCATAACAGCTTCTCTTAAATTAAAAACAACATACACACTCAAGTGCTTTGCATCACATCCCACTGCATTCTTCACACAGGCTCCACACTGGCAGGATCTCTCTCCCATAACAACTTAAAAATGGGTCCCTGGCTTTGACCTAATTCATTAAAAAAAAAAAAAAAAAAGTTGTGCAGAGATTTAGACATGATGTTTCCTTCTTCTTAAGTGGAAAAGACAATCGCATTGCCTTTAAAACAGATCCACAGTAGTCTTTTTACATACTCATCTCAACTGGTTTTGTCCTCTGAAAGACACTCTGCAGCGACTGGTTTGCAATAATTGGCACAGAAGGAAGCTCCAAATAAACACTCCTGGATCTTCATAAAAGCCATTGTTTGTATGCATTCAACTAAAAATCTAAAGACCAGCCTTGAACATGTATTGTTTCTTTTAAAAAACAAACAAACGTTGATTGTGCAGTAATCTTTCCCTTCAACACATGAGAAGGCCATTAAAACCTTTCTAAAAATTGAGAGACAAGAATTAATTTTTATAGCCAGGCATCAGAGGTGCTGAAAATTAAACTGACTTAAGTGAACGGACATATCAAGTACTGCAGCATCTTTTTAAGAATGGAGAACACTGTGTTAAGGGGAAAAATAAGCATTTCTCCATTTTACCTGGAAAATGGATGCAAGGCTAGAACAGTGCCTTGTTATTTGAGAGGCTGCTGCCCAGCTCAAAGGTGTGTCGCTTTGCACCAATTAGATCTGATCAAGCCTGGCTAGCTCCTGCTTTCAAAGATGTTGATCAAATTGCAGAATGAGAGACCCACAGCAGCATATTAAAACCATTCCCCCCAAAGAGACAAGGAAACTCTTCTCCCATCATATGCAACAAAGCAGCAGTTGGGATGCTCTTGGTCTGGTCTTAGTTAATGGTCCATATCATACAAGTTCTGCCCAATGTACAACATCAGATTAGGTTTTTTTTTCTTCAGTTTTCCCTCTTGTACCCATGCCCCTTGATGAAAAGTGAAGCCTTTGGCAGTTCCATCACCCTCCCAGTCCAAATCCCAAATACTGTCCAATATGGTTCACAATCATGTATTTAATAAGTATCTTGAAGGTCCATCCTTCAATCCCAGTGACACTTCCCTCCCCCTCTTCTGGTTGATAGTCTGGGGATCCATGCACGCCAAGTTAGTGGTTTTCTCCCGGTATATCATACTGTGGTCTCATGGTGTGCAGTAGGTGGGGTTTACCGTATCCTGGTGAAAAGGTTCAGAACAGACACAGACTCCTGGAAAAAGAGAAACCAGTGTTGTACCCAAGATGCCCAATTCAGTTATTTGCTGAGAGATGAGTACAGCACATATAACATCACTACACTGCTGAGGAAATATTCCTGCAAGAAGCTTGCACTTGGGCACAGACAAGTCTAGGGAAAAGGGTCTGGAACCCTTCAAATGGTAGGTTCAAACTCCAAGCATCCTTGTTGCAAGAGATCAGCCATTCAGAGCACATAAACATGTATAGGGAAGAGCAAGTGCAATAATGGGAGAAATGGGTTAATTCCATAGAACATATTTTTCATAATCACGAGGGAATGAGTTTATTCTCCCTCTCCACTCTGCTCCCCCTCCTCAAGCCCATTCAGGACATCATGGTCCTTAGTACTCTCTACTACCTCCTTTTGTGTTTGAAGCTACTTCTTGAACAGACCTGCAAAAGACTACTTTTGCTGAATTATATTTTGAGGAAGTCTCTATCCATGGTACCTCTCAGGGTCAAATTTACAAAATCCCCTTTTTCTTGAAGTCATTGTTTTGTCCTAGCACAACTGTGCTAGGAGTTAAAGGATACAGATGCCAAGGACACAACTGTAAGCATATGTGCAAGATGGTGTTGTGTCTTGGCCGTGTTCTAGTGGCATGTCAGCAACATAGCAAGATATCCAGTGTTATAAACACAGGTTGAAAACAATGTTGTGCTTAGCTGTGATATTCATCTGCGGGTGCATCTACACACGCAACCTGGGCAATGCAATAAACTCCAGTGCAGTTCACATCAGAGTCAACTGTGCCTGGACACAGTGTCTGCATGTGCACCTGGGACCGAGGTGAGTCTGACTGTTCTGTAGTTCCCTGGATCTTTTTTCTTCCCTTTCTTAAAGATGGGCACTGTCACCGTGAGTCTTCCAAAATAATGGCCAGAGGCTCTGCAATCACATCAGACAACTCCCTCAGCACTCTTGGATGCATTGCATCCGGCCCCATGGACTTGTCCATGTCCAACTTTTCTAAATAGTCCCTAACCTGTTCTTTCACCAGTGAGGGCTGTTCACCTTCTCCCCGAACTGTGCTGCCCAGTGTAGTAGTCTGGGAGATGACCTTGCCCGTGAAGACGGAGGTAAAAAAAAAGGCATCAAATATTTCAGCCTTTTCCTCACGATCTGTCACTAGGTTGCCTCCCCCATTCAGTAAGGGACGCACACTTTCCCTGACCTTCCTCCTGTTTGCCAACATGCTTGTAGAAACCCTTCATATCCCTTGCTAGCTGGAACTCCAATTGCGCTTTGGCCTTTGATTTCATCTTTGCATACCCAAGCAATATTCTTATACTTCTCCCTAGGCCTCTGTCCAAGGTTCCACTTCTTGTAAGCTTCCTTTTCATGTTTAAGTTCACTGAAGTGTTCTTTGCTAAGCCAAGCTGGTTATCTGCCATATCTGCTATTCTTCCAGCACATCGGAATGGTTTGTTTCTGTGTCCTCTGTAAGGTTTCGTTAAAATAGAAACGTGTAGACTGTGATGCTTTACTGTGGAGCTAATTAGTCAACTCCACAGTAACGTTCACATGTAGATGCACTCTGTGTGAAGACCTAACGTGTAACTTTCAACTGATGATCACAAACCCCTTTAACCTTATGCCCAAGCTCTGACCCAGGCCCCACTCCCACAAAGACTTGCTACACGAACAGCTACAGGAAAGAATATACAAGAGGTGAACTGATCATGCAAGAGAAACACCCAATAAGCTGATAGCACAGCTAACCATTAAGCCTCAGCCTTGGTGACTCCTCCCCTGATGGACCTAGTCTGCTCCAGAAACTGACCGCTAGAGGCTAAGGATTTTACCTTTGTTGAGCGGGTTTTGCTGAAAACATTCCAGAATCTCAGGGTTTCGTCTCCAGCTCCTGTAACTATGGCTTCTCCATCAGGAGACATTGCCTAGGGCAAAGAGAGAGAATAAAGAGACTGCAAAATACATTTTATTGAGTGATCACAATCCCCACCCCCCGCTTCTCCAGCAGCATTTGCTCTGAATGGCCACCTGAGATGATTAGGCAGGGTGAAAACAAAATGCAAAATTTGGGAATAGACCTTATTTACATTCTACAGGATACTCAGGGGTAACTCCTACCTTTGGATCCCATTCCTGCCTAAAGCAGTATGTTTTATTTAACCTCAAGGGGATATGCATTAGCCTGTTATAAAAACAGCAATGAGATACAGAAGTGTTGTTGGCATTTTAAGCCCTGTTAATTACACGAATGATTTTTACTTCTAAAACACTCTGGCTAGTACATATCCCTTCAACAGATTTGACTCATACTATTTTCTAGCGAAGCCTCCCAAAAACACTATGTGAGTGAGGGCTATGCACATAAAGTGAACAAGAGAAGAATCTATCCAGAGGCAGAGGTGGATTAAACAACCAAAAAAAATCACACTGAACATTTTATACTGTACTAAAAAGAAGAAACAGAGAACAGAAAATGGAAAGAGGGGAGAAGAGTAACGAAGAGCCTTTTATGCTAAAGCAGCAGCTGGCTTTACTACCTTAAGATCTAATTACCATGGCTCCTTTGGGAATGAGAGAAGCTCACTTTTGGCAAGTTTTGACACCTGTCAAGATGTAAAATTCACCATACACTGTGAAGTGTCAAGTCAAGAAACCTATTCCATATGTCAACAAGCAGGAAGAGCCAAATGATCAATGGCCCTGCTACATGCAGTTTTGCTTAACAGCAAATAGCTATAGAGAATCATAGAAATTTAGGGTTGGAAGGGACCTGAGGAGGTCATCTAGTCCAACCTCCTGCTCAAAGCAGGACCATCTCCACCTAGATCATCCCAGCCAAGGCTTTGTCTAGCTGGGCCTTAAAAACCTCCAAGAATGGAGATTCCACCACTTCTCTAGGTAAGCCATTCCAGTGCTTTACTACCCTCCTAGTGAGAAACCTTTTTCTAATATCCAACCTAAGCTTCCATTGCTGCAAGTTGAGACCACTGCTCCTTGCTGTCATCTGCCACCACTGAGAACAGTGTAGCTCAGAGGTGGGCTAAATGATGGATCCAGCCAGCAGCTGCATTTCATTTCCCAGCAGCTCCTGCCTGCAGCCAGTTTCCATGGAGACCCCAGCAGCATGGGGCCAGGATTTCTAAAGACTGGCCCCAGCAGTGTGGACAGGGCATGCGGTTGTGCGGGGAACTGCACTGCAAGATCCCAGCCCCAGAGCAGCTCCCCACCCAGCCATGTGCCATGCCAGCGCTGCTCAGGCTGGACTCCATGGAAACCCTGGTCCTGTGCTGTCATAGCCCCAGCACTGCTGGGGTCTTCATGGAAACTGGCCACAGTGACACAGGCAAGGGCTGCTGGAAAATGGAGCCAGTCCCTGGTCTAGCTCCATCCACTTTGGAACTACCCTTCAAGGTAGTTGAAGGCTGCTATTAAATCCCCGCCACCGATCTTCTCTTCTATAAACTAAGTAAGTCCAGTTCCCTCCCCCTCCCCTCATAAGTCACATTCCCCAGTCCCTGAACCATTTTCATTGCCCTCTACTGGACTATCCAATTTGTCCACATCCTTTCTGTACCAGGGGACCTTAAAACTGGACACAACACTCAAAATTTGGCCTCACCAGTGCTGAAGAGAGGAATAATCACTTCCCTTGATCTGTTGGCAACACTCTTAATGCAGCCCAGCATGCTGTTAGCCTTCTTTGCAACAAACACACACTGCTGGCTCATATCCAACTTACTGCCCACTGTAACCCCAAGTCCTTTTCTGCAGTGTTGCTGCTTAACCAGTTGGTCCCCAGCCTGTACCAATGCATGGGATTCTTCCATCCTAAATGCAGGACTTTGCACTTCTCCTTAGTGAACCTCATGAGAATTCTTTTGGTCCAATCCTCCAATTTGTCTAGGTCTCTTTGAATCCTAGCCCTACCCTCCAGCGTATCCATTACTACCCCCAGCTTGATGTCATCTGCAAACTTGCTGAGGGTGCACTCCATCCCATCTTCCAGGTCACTGATGAAAATATTGAACAAAACCAACCCCTGGGGCACTCCACTTGATACTGGCTGCCAAACAGACATGGGGCCATTAACTACTACCCTCCGAGTGTTTATACACGTGTTCCGGTACCCTCCAGCGTATCCATTACTACCCCCAGCTTGATGTCATCTGCAAACTTGCTGAGGGTGCACTCCATCCCATCTTCCAGGTCACTGATGAAAATATTGAACAAAACCAACCCCTGGGGCACTCCACTTGATACTGGCTGCCAAACAGACATGGGGCCATTAACTACTACCCTCCGAGTGTTTATACACGTGTTCCGGGTTCATAGACATCAGGGCTGGAAGGGACCTCGGAAGATCACTGAGTCCAGCCCCCTGCCCAAAGGGCAGGAAGTCAGCTGGGGTCATAGGATTCCAGCAAGATAGACATCCAAATGTCTCTTGAAGGCGTTCAAAGTAGGTGCTTGAACTACCTCAGGCAGCAGTCTATTCCAAACTTTGGGGGCTTGGACAGTAAAGAAGTTCTTCCTCATGTCCAGACTGAAACGGTCACGGAGTAGCTTGTGACCATTGGATCTTGTCATCCCTTGGGGTGCTCTGGTGAACAGATGTTCCCCCAGATCCTAGTGAGCACCCCTGATAAAAACGTATAGGTGGCCACCAGATCACCCAAGCCTGTGCTTTTCCAGGCTGGAGTCCCATAGCTCTCAGCCTCTCATTGTAAGGTCTGTTTTCCTGACCTCTTATCATGCGTATGGCTGTCCGCTGGACTCTCTCAAGCTTCTCCACATCTTTTTTGAATTGTGGAGCCCAAAATTGGACACAGTACTCCAGCTGCGGCCTTCCTGTCCTCAGGTGTGGATGCTTTACCCCAAAGTTTGGTGTTGTCAGCGAACTTGGCCAGTCCACTTCTGACGCCAATGTCCACATAGGTGTTGGGGGCACTTTAATTACTGTGGCTCCGAGACTTGCATTAATTAAAAGCACCCAGACGGTCACGTGTCTCAGGATCCCTGTGCTGAAAAATGACAGCAGGGCACTTTAAAAGTGCCCCACTGGCATTTTTCAGTGTGGGCATGCTGATGCCCGTGATGCTGGGGGCTGCTGGAGTGTGTCAGTTTCCATACCTCAGCAGAATCAATTAATCAAGTCTGCTCCAACGCTCTAGAACTACAGCGTGTTGGAGCAGGCTCCCTGCATGTGTATAGGAGCGCTCTCAGCCCAATGCTTCAGATAGTTTTCTATATACTTTACAGTCCACTCATCCAACCTGTACTTCCTTAGCTTGCTTGCGAGAATGTTGTGGGAGACCATATCGAAAACCTTGCTAAAGTCATGAATCCAGCTGAAAGCAGCACAACCCTACTTGGATTCCATCACTGTGCATAGCATAGTCACAGCAGAATCAGAAGCTACAGAAAAGTTGGTTAAAAAGGTATGGATTATAGCTTACCAGGTATAAAACTCTGTATGAATGCCCCGTTAGCTTTGCTACTTGGGTTAGCGAGGGGTATTTCCAGACGAGAATCTGGTTCTGTGAGTATCCATGAGTGCTCACCTGCAGGAGGAGGAAAAGACAAGACAGTCAGGGGCTCAGTTCCCAATACCTGAAGATTAGCAGCAGGACACTGAACACGAAAGCACTTACTAATTCATTGGCATGTTTGGACCAGGCCAGATTGCACACTTGTGACCCAGTATCAATACACTGTAAAGGCTGCCCAGTTAAAGTGTTCCAGAAACGTATGCAGCGATCTGCTGTCCCGCCGCCCGAGGCCAGCAGGCCATGCTGATGCGGAGACCATGCAATAGCTTTCACTGCTGCTAGGTGTTCTGTGTACTGCTGAACGGGACTCAGGCTGGAGTGATTCCAGACAAGGAGCTAGCAGAAAGAAGAAACAAGATGGATTAAGCACACATATCATATTCTAGTCTCCAAACCCCTACACTAAAAAGAAAATAGTGCCAGTCAAAGCTAGACAGAGTGAAAGCAGAACAGCTCAGCCTGAACAATTCTGCCAGTGCACCTCCATCTTGAGTATTTTAGATTTCTGAACCACCAAACATGCTCAAACTGAGGGGGGATTTTGCAATTTGAGCCTAGGGTAAAATCCCAAAGCTCAATTCCTTTGAGCCTTAGCCAGGATTTGAATTCTGGTCCATGAATGTAGACAGCAAGGCCTTTATCTTGCTTTGTGACTGAATAATCCAGCCACATCACAAGACAGAAAGTCTTATTTACTGGAGGAGGAGTGCCAAAACTGGCAATACTTCGTACGCGTGACTTTGGTCCAATATACATCCCATGAGTTACCTGTGCAGGAATCTATTCCAAAGGTGCTCTCAGAACCACTTCTTAGAAACACAAGATATTTCTCTATACTCACTGGTAAACTGCAAGCTTGCATTGCATACACTGAATTTAAAAACTTACATTCGCAGGAGGACGTTTAATATAAATGATTTAGAATGGTGAAAATGTTGCCCCCGTCTGCTCCCCCAGACCCCCATGGCTGCCCCACACGCTGCAGCTCCAGCCCTTTAAGAAAAAAACAATTAATGCCCCAGATTCACCGGCTCCTGTGGTGGCCTTGGGGCTTCTGGGGGCTCGTGCAGAGCCTCCCACGCAGCGCGGAGCAGTGAGGGGCAGCAGGGAATTGCCCCCTGCCAGGCAGGAGCGGTTGACTCGAGGCTTTTTTTTTTTTTTTTTTTAAAGGGCCTAGAGCTGGGCAGGGCAGGGCAGGGCAGGGCAACCGGGGGCAGGGGGAGGCTTGTGGCAGAGCCCCACCCCCACGCAGCATGGGACAGCGGGGATCACCCCCCTGCTGGTGAGTCTGAAGCAAATACCAGCCACTTTGCACAGGCCTAGTAACAGACTATTAATCCCCATTTACTTTAGTAAATAGTAGAAGACTAGAGAGGGTAGTAGGTTAGCTCAGTTTGGCTATATTTGAGGAAGAACAAAGTCCAATTAGCAAGTTGACAGGAAAAAAAAAAACAAAACCCCTTAAAAAAAACCAAAAAAAACAAACAAAAAAACATTGTAAATGAGGCTGGAATTTAAATTAAAAAAAGGCATATCCTTGAAGAAAGGAAACTTTTTTGAAATTGGCAGTGAAAGTTCAGAGGTGAGGTCAAATTTCTTTCTAACAAAAACAGTACTATACCTTGTTATCATTTCCACCGGATGCCAGGAGTTGGTGGTCTGTAGACCACTTTAGCCCACACACTTCCTGCCTGTGGCCCTGAAGCCGCCGCTCAGATTGTAGTGGTGGGGTCCGGATGTCTCTCTGAAGGATCATTCTATCCCGACTCCCAGAAGAAAGTTGGTCTGCATTCCATGCCAAGGCACCTGTGAAGTAGGAAAAGCATAGTGAGATATTTGATGCAGTCATTAATAGTGAACTGGATTGCCAGGGCAGGGGCAGGGGGAGTATGCAAATGTTAAGCACCACTACCATTATATGGTTATAGCATTATAAAAGAGTCTTCAGCACTTGTTTGAAGATTGTAAAACAGTTTCCAAAACACAAACCTCATGAGTTACCACCACCATTTGATAGGTCAGTAGTGGATAGGGACATGGGACTCATGAGTTCTAGCTCCCAGACCTGGATCCGGTGACCAGAGTTGCATTGCTTTCTTCCATAACCTACTTGCTTAAAGATAAAATGAACTGAAAACTTCCCGGTGTTAACAACCTAACTGGAGACTGGAAACCAGAAAATAAGGACATTCCACAAGGTTAGTAACATAGCAGACCAACCCCCGTCTGCCTCAGGCACATGAATAAAGAAATGGCACTTGCCAGAAGTTTGTGCTGCAATGATTCATGTATCACCACACCCAAAGCAGGTCAGTGCTGCTACAGAATGAAATTTAAAATGAATTTTTTAAAACAGCCCAGGAGTTGCAAGGATATGCCTCCTCCCCATATTTCTGGCACTTCTTGTTAATCAGGGTTAAGGCACTATTGCAGTACTTACATGGCTTGAATTCAGGGCTGGCAGCCTGTGAGGGCATAAGCTGTGACCCACTAGACTGTCACCCACCACCACTCCCTGCATTGCTCTGGCTGTAACAGCAGCCAGAGCCTCCAAGCACCCCCCTCCCCTTCGGCTTCTGTTGCCTGCCCTTGCCTCAAGGGACAGGGTGGGGAGCCAAGGCCCAGGCTGAGGCCATGCAAGCATGCAGTGCAGCAGTGAACTGAGGGGTGCCTGTACGGTGCAGAAGGAAGGGAGGCATTAGCAGGGAGTGCAGTCCAGGAGGCCTGTGGCCAGAGCCATCCTGGGGCAGGGGAACCGAGGCGACTGCCCCGGGCCCTGCAGAGCCAGGAGGAGTGGCTGTGGCGACTCTACACCGCTGCCGCCAGCTTTGCATCCGGCCGCTCACTAACCCCCAACCCCACCAATGGTGGCAGTGGCTTCTTCGCATCCAGGGTGCATGGGGTTGGGGCCCCGCACAAGCCGATTTGCCCTGGGCTCCACACCCTGCTCGAGTCAGCTCTGCCTGTGGCTCACCATGGTGCGGTCCCCACTAGCATGACCCACAGGGCATGGGGCTCGTGGCCACTTAGAAGGTGGACAGCTCTAGCTTTCATTGATCAATATTTTACATTAGAAGTTGGTATTTAAAAATAAAACACCTCATCCTTTGTCTCCTACTTGCTCCTTACCAACTCTGGCTGTGTGACCCTCAAGCATGGATAATTTCTTCCCTGCAGCTGCATCCCAGATCTGTACAAAGCCCTTGTGAGTTCCAACTGCTACTAAGTTCCCCTAAATTAAATTAAAAGAAAAATTCCAATCAATACAGCCAGCAAGGATGTACAACCCCCCCCCAAAAAAAACAAAAAACACCAACAAGACTAAAGGGCCACACCATAAACTTGAGGTCCTGAAAGGGCGGAGGCGTGGAAGGAGGAAGAGAAGGATAAAAATCTCGAGAGAGATGATCCATGCTCAAAGGAATTCCAGCTAACCTGGGAGTACTCGAACAGGGTATATACACATCCTCAACATCTTACAACTTATATTAGGAGAAAACTGCTCTAGGAACTAAACTAGATGCATCAAGAGAATCTTTTCAAGGCAAATAATGCTGGAACTTTTCATGCATATTCTAAGCACTGTAGCATCATCAAGTCCTTGGTTTAGATGAGATGAAGCATCTTAAGTTCTTTGCAATGAGACATGATCACTTTGTCCTCGACTTGTCACAGTCTAGCCTACCCTCTCCAGAATATCCAATGGTATTTGAGGACTTGGTTGCAGGGGTTTTGCCTCTAAGGTTTTCAACAGGAAGCTGAGATATTTAGCCCAGGCCTTCCCCAAAAAGAATACATGCAACATGGTAGCACTACAAAGAATTGCTTGAAATGCACTGACTGTATTAATTCACGTTAACAACTTTCTACAATGAGCAGCAAATATTAACTGAAGTTTGTGGCACTCGGGGAGTTGCACTGTGGAATCTTCAGTGGGGTCTGACAGCATGGGCAAATTTCTCTACTCCATTTATGATACATTTCTATACACCAAGCCCTTATCTACATAGCAGGATAGTTGAGATGGTCCCTTTAGTCAAAGCTGACTCATCTGCCTAGCTTTTAACAAAAGGCAAAAAGCAATTAATGGTCTTTGGCATCACTTTTTTTCCCCCCTCTTAAACTATACAGCTCACACTGATATATCAAACTGCATTCCTATCAATGGAGAGGCACCAAAAAGAGTTTCAATTGTTTTACACAACAAGTGCTCATTTTTCTGGGTATTTTGAAATGCAACAGTAGTTGAGAAAGGCAGAAAGTCCTCAGCACTTTTGAAAATGAAATCAATCATGTCTGACAGCATTATACAAACCCGTTCTGACCAGCCCACTGATGTTACAGAATCACCTTCCACAGATAAATCACACAACCGGGTCACCTTGAAAAGAAGGGAAAGAAATTGAACAGCAGCAGCATAATGACAATACTAACAAATTAGCTATTTAGCAGGCTAAAAACTGGGACTAAGAGCACTACTGAACCCTTGGAAGATGTTACGCTTAAGACACGATTAACTAGTTAAATCGCATTTTAAATGATGATCTGGCCACCTGTTCATTAAATTTATGGCACGATAAAAGGGTGAAAACAAGGTCCAAAATTATTTCACAGAATATGTAATAGTTTTGTGACTAGTTTTCATTATGCCTCAAATTGCACTTGTGATCAGTGCACTGGGACTGCCAATCAGGTTGGCAGTCCCTCCTGTGGAACAACACCAGAGTGTGGAACTCACTCCAGTGTAGTCCTGGGGCTGTGACACCCAACAGCCGAAGGGAAGCCTCAGTCCCAGGACCACACAGCTTCACGAGGCCCATGGCTCTTAGGGCACACTGGCAAGTAGGGCGCGACTAGGATCCGATCCCAAAAACTGCACATATGCCATAGGTGTGGCATGGCAGGAGGCACGTTTGTTGGGATAGGAGATTAAATCCCATTGTGCCTTAAGTGAATGTCTGCGAGAGGCCTTAGTGTTGCACTCAACATAAAACACATTTTGTTTTATTTTAGTGCAGGGCGGGGGGAAGAAGTGACACTGCAAACAAAATAGATTAGATTAGTTTATTACTTACTTGGCTAGTGCAAGCACTCCACAGATAGACACAGGTACCAAGGCCAACACTGAGTACATTGAGAGATGACCAGTCCACAAGATTCAGGTAGAAGTCATCTTGCAGCTCTGGAGCATCCAGCACTTTGAAAGGAATCTTGGATATTTTTCTTGTTGGCTTTCGAGGCGATCTTAGCAATTTCTGGCTGTTACCCAAAGATATGCATTTTATAAGGATCTGTGATGGTACCAGCCAATTTAGAGAAACTGCTACTGTACTGATCACAGCCTTTCTAAAGGACAGAATACAAGAAGTCATTTTGGTGGCTCTTTCATCAGTGACACCCACCCAAGGTGAGAACGAAGTTAGTTTCTGGTTCCTATAATGAAGCTAAGAAAAGGAAGGAACCTGGCAGTGGAAACACTGACCAAAAAAATCTCTATTTTTAAGGATGCTTGCTCTTTAGGAACTGGACAACTCCTACTTCCTACCCCTTTGTCCAAAATTCTGTAGCCAATTGATATCACAATCAGTTACTATAAAACCAATTAGTCAAGAACCTCATCCTCTTTTCCTGCCCAGTGGGTAGATTATTACCTTTTGTTGCTGACGGGTGAAAGGGAATACGGGGAGACCTCATTGCCATCATCTGGACTGGAGCGTTTGGTACTGAGGGAATACTGTACAAAGAAAGCACTAGATATAACAACCCTACACAGTACAAAGTCCCAACATGAGACACTACCTACAAAATCCTGCATAAAGGCAGATCTGTTTTGTTTTCTACCCCTGTCTGTCCCTTCCCTTAGCATTTCCTTTAAATATTTACTCTAAAACAAAATAGAGAAGTTAATTTTTACCCAGAGAGGTTATGGAATCTCCATCTTCGGAGGTGTTTAAGACCCAGCTAGACAAAGACCCATGAACAACACCAAGTTATGAGAAAGCGTGGTCGTGCTTGAAGATAGGCTACAGATACAAGCAGATGGAGTCCCACAGAAGCACGTGGGGTCCCCAGTGCACTTGGTAGCAGACCCGAAAGTGGACCAGAAGCACTTCCGGTCCACTTCTGTGTCTGCCTGGGAGCATGCTGGGGGCCCTGCTGCACTCCTGTGGGACGCTCCATCCACCCCACAATCGCAGCATTTGCGAGCCGTGCCTCGTACCTTGAGGTATGTAGAACAAACATTTAAAGCTGCATCTATGTCTGAATTATCGAATCTCTCTGAATTGATTCAGAGGGTTCCAATTCGATTTGGAGAGATTAAAGGGTCTCCTGACTCAATAAGGATTCAGTGGCCGAATCTTCTCAGAAACAGCACCAACTCTTCAGATTTGGATTCAGCCGAATTGAATTGGGACAGCGATCCAAATCAACGAATTGAAACAGTGTCCCCGATTCGGGCTTAATCCAAATCCAATACAGCCTGTTCTGCATGCCCCCAATGTCTACCCTAGTTATTTAGCATCATTGTCAAGGACTCATTTTAATCTGTCGAGACTATCAGATACAGCAATGTGCCAGGTGCCTATTAACATATCTGAGGAATGCCTGTTCCTCTCTGCAAGTTATAGCACAAGCACTGAAGATTAAAACATGTTTTTCCGTTAGCCACACTTACTGTGAAGAGGCTCTTCTTCTCTGGTGTAGATGGTTGCAGCCTCCTGTCCTCTGTTTGAGGATCCTGCACTTTCTCAATCCCTGCTCCCAAGAGTTCATTCTTCAGCAAGGCAGAGTATGCAAGGCCATCTGTATCAACAAAAAAACATGCTTGAGCAAAGCCCTGAACAAACAGACTAGACTAAAGCTTGAAACCCATAGCTGGAAGCGAGGGTGCCATGTCTGGTCAGCCTTTAAATTCAAATCCACTTTATTTGTGCGAGGAGAAGACAAAATATACCGCTAACCTCATTCCTAGCTTTATTCAGCCAAGACAGACATATTTGGGAGATGACAGCTCAAAAGAACAGAAAAAAGGACCAAAGAGCCTCTCTCTTCTAAGTTATGTGCTCAGCAGCCCACCCAAAGTTCAATCTAGTTCTTTCTGAAGAAGTATCCACATCACAATTGTGCTAAGAGTGCTAACTTCTTTATTCAAGATAGACTGGCCATTTGGAGCAAGATATCTTTCACCACTGAGAAATGCTTCCAAGCAAAATGAAGGTCCAACAGTAACACACTGAGAGGAATGCTTATATTTTTACTGTTCATGCTTATGACTTAGACCGGACTTCAGACTCAAATCAAAGCTAAGAATGCAGGGGGAACAGTGGTACAAAAAAAATAGCTAACCTTTGCCATTGTCTGATGTAGCATCCTTTGCTTTTCTGTTCTGACTTGGAGACTTTTCATTTTCCTGAAGGAGGAAAAATGCATGCTATCAAGCCAATCCCCGCATGAACAGAGTTCTGACAAAAATCTTTGAAAAAAAAAATGATGTTAATGGGAAAGGCACCATGCTCTTTAGAAATCTGCAGATGTGTATTCACAAAGATCAGGGACGCACAGTCGATGGTAACTCTCCAGGGAGACAAGTTCTGAATCAGCAAAAGAACTGATGCAGAGAGGGGGAAGGAGCAAGATCCTGTCAAATCAGCTTTGGTAACTCCTTGCAAGGTATCACATCCTCCCCCATGCCTATCACCACAAGGCCTTGTCCTGACATTGCACAGTGCAATACTTACATTTATCCTGTGGAAGTTAATGCTCCAGTTGGCCCCAGCTCTTGAGGGAATAAACCTGTCTCCATGTTTACTTGGAGAAGACATTGGAGAGTTGGAAGGAGTCAGTGTTCTTCTCATCTCTGCTACCTGAAATTGGATGTATTTTAGCAACCCTTGCAGTGGTGAGACACACCCTCACAATTGTATGACATGGCTGGTTTGCAGTTTTAGGAATAAATTAGACAAGTATTTATATGGAATGGTCTGGATAGGGATGCTCCTGGTTTGAGCAGGGGGTTGGACAAGATGACTTCCTAGGATCACTTCCAACCCCTACTTTTCTATGATTCTATGAAAGAGAGAGCAACGTTGGTCACAGGAAGATTGAAAGACACCACAGAAATCCATTCTCCTTCAGGTCGCGCAGATCTGGGACAGACTGCAAATGGTTGGCACCTTAAAAGCCTAATTGTACTCCCACCCTCACGTCTTCAGGGGATCTTTGTGATACAGAATCTCTCTCCCCGTGCTTTCTCTCAACAGTTGAGTTGAGTAGTATGTCCCTTGAAAGCTGGAAGACTGAAGGCAGGGCATTGGGTACAAGTAGCTATGTAGGAGGCAATGATAGAATGAAAAGAGACCCATTTTTTAATCCTCTGTTTATTTTGCAACCTTTCTCCTTCAATCTCTCTACACATGTGAATATATGCATTACAATGTAGTTTTAAAGATTTTTGCAGTGTTAGGCAGCAGACAATGCTTTTTAGTGCCATTTCTTTCCTTGGAGTGAAGCCCGAGTAGCATGCAACTAGTATACTGTACTTTATTGTACATAACATGCACCTGAATATAATACACATCTTGTTTTTGAAAGGTAGAATGAAGGAAAAATTAAAAAGAAAGATTTTTCCAGCGCTATGGCTCCATAGAGCAGAGACAGCTTAATCCTCAGCTCACCCAACCTCCCTGAAAAACAAAGCTGTTGGCTGAGGACTGGTCTCCATGTGTAGGATTTATGATTTTGAAAAGAGTTAGTCTCCAAGGCTGTGAAATAGGAAGAGGTAGACCAGGAGCTGCTAGCAGACAGCAAAATGGCCCTAAGATTAGTTTGAGTAATGGAACATCAAGGCCATTAAAAAGAAAAGACAACTATTAACAACTCTGGAGTGAAGAGCAATGAGCCATTAGGTCAGACTCCTGCACCTGCCTGAATACTAATACAATGGCGGCTACACTGTGGGGCAGGAATCAAAGCATGGTGCTTCTATCCCAGGAAGAAAATCAGCTTTCCTGCTTAACAAACATGTCCCAATTTTGCAGGGGAAGGGGATGGTGCATGGTGTATGTAAAAAAATATGGTATTTATAAGACATGTAAAGTGTCCCAAGTATGGGCAACTCAGATCTTGCTTCACCTTCTCATAAAACAGTATCTTATCTTGAAGGAATTTCACAGGCAAAGCAAGTGAACAAAACTGACAAAAGGTTACAAGCATTCAATGTCCTGTATCTCTCCCGGCCTTCCAGATTACAAGAGGTTGACATTTTGGGAATCAACTTTATGGTGACAAGTCCTTCATACCTCCCCCCCCGATCCCTGCCCTGAGATATCCCTCATGGAGGCCACTACACTTTGCTCCTCCCCACACCTCTGTTTAATGAGATCTCTCCTGACCAGACTTGAGCACCCATTAGTAGGCCCGTGTGAAGCAGCTAGTATTCACTTCGGATTCGGCCAATTCGGGGGACAGTGATTTGATTCAGCGATTCGAATCACTGTCCTGATTCGATTCGGAGGTTCAGCAACAGCTGAATCTCCAAATCAGCCAGGCCAGGCCCATCTCTCACCCCTCTCCCAGCCCAGCAATGGCTGCCCCTACCTGCCCCAGCAGGGTCCCCTCCCCCTCTCTCCTGCTCCTAGTATTTACTAGCTCAGAGTGGCTACAGCTCCCTGCTGTAGCCACCGGGGACTACCCCAATCAAAGCTCTCCGAATCTCTGCCGAACCTTCGGAGAGCTTTGAATCAATTTGGACCTTTAAATCGGTCCCCCGATTCAATCTGGATTCAGAGATTCGGCCACCGAATCAGGCCGAATCTCCTCCAAATCGAATCACCACCCGAAGCTTTGCGCAGCCCCACCCATTAGATCTATACTGCTGTCCCAGAGCATATTGAGGTTCTGCTGCAGCGTACAACTACAAACCTGGTTGGAGTAGTTGGATGCACAGAGAAGATGGAAGCTTTTGTTAGGGTTTAAGGTAAATACTGCCCTAATGTACTGTTCCAAGGTCCTTGTGGCATTGCTATGGAGCAGTGTTATGGCTGGGTTGTGTGGGAAGTATCACTTTAACACTATTTTCAAATTCATTAACATTAGTGTACTGTTCTTTCTAGGATGTCAGTGTTTGGGCAAGAGGCATGTAAAGGGAATTCTTTGTGCATCTTACTGCAGGCCTGAGACCCCTCAAGTCATGGATCTGGACCTGACTTTCCATTTCAGATTCCTCAAGTCTGCTAGATATACAGGTGTCCTCCAACAACATTCCTTCAAAGAGCATTCAGCATTAGCTGCCATTTCAATTCAGAGTTGAACCTAGATCAGTTAGACCAAGAGTGGCCAAATCATGGCATGCAGGCACAAGCAGCTGATGAGTGACACAGGAGCCCTGGGCTTTCAGTAAAGGGAAGCAAGAAATGGGGGCAGGGGCCAGAGGCAGTCTGTGGAGGGAAGCAGAGGCAGGAAGGGTGCAAACTTGGGGGGAGGGGGGGGAAAAGAGGCCAGGGATCAGAGCAGCCCTCTGTGGGGGAGAGGGGGTTTAAACTTGTGGCATGGCTACCCAAAGGGTTAGTCACCACTGAATTATACCATATGGGATCACTGCAGAAGAGAGTTTGTCTTTAAAGTCCAGGCTTTAACAATTAGTAATGTATCCAATATCTATGGGGTAATAGATATGTACTGAAACAGATTAATCTCCCTGCTCCTCCCCCAAATCCCATGGGACTTTTTCAAAACTTGAAAAAGTCATTTATGTGCATCAGTGAATGATGTTGCAGTTGGTGACCAGGGAGGAAACGAAAGATAAGGGCTCTGCAACATCACCAAGAAGTTCTGGGGCCAGCAGAGACGCATGAAGCCGGTGCGGTGTTGGTTCTATTATTCGTGTTCTAAAGTAGAATCATAGTTTAAATCTACAAAGATCAGATATGGCTGAAACATGGGGAGAATATGCAACCTGGATCTCCTGCCCTCTCATGATATTTCCCCATGGTACTATTCTCTCCTTCTCTAAAGCTTGATTAAAACCCCCAAACTATTTACATTACAGGAGTACCCAATGTGATTATGTAGCTCCTCAATGCCATTTTTATTATGTCAAGTACTAAGTAAAGATGCTATAACCCCAATTAGACTTCCAAGTATTATATATATATAAAATACAGACATTAAACTGATTTTAAATGACAAGTCAGCTACATTAACCAGTTGTTTGCAGCAGCTGTTTTCCAGAACAATTCAGAAACTCAGTGAAGGTTTAGTAATCCCCCTCCCCCACCCCTTCTTTAATAAAACGGCTCAAATAGTAAAATCTGAAAGCCATATCGGAGGGACAGTAAAAAGATATTACAGGACAGGGAATCTTTAGTCTGCATACTTACACAAGGCATCGTATTTTCATTCTGTATGTTGATTTGGCGCAGGAGACGTCTCTCATAATCCTGGTCCATGGTAGACAGGGGATTGGGGAGTTCAAATCCTAAAACCTTGTATTCATGGAGTCCAATCACCAATCAGTCTGATGCAATGACAGGATGGGGGGTGGGGAAAAAGGGGGATGGAGCGTCAAATGCAGCACATCTCTAAAACACATTACCTATGTTTTCTCCTTACCCTACTACATATCCAAAATGCTCAGAGACATTTGTATATTAATCCATACAACTAGAAAAGTAGGCAAATATCACCTCCAAATTTCTACCAACCTATGAAAAGGCACAGACGGGCTATATGAGCTGTCTAAATGCACATAAGCAAGTCAGTGACAGATAAGAAAACCCAGAAATCCCAACTTCAAATCCTGTACTTTAAAACAAAGTTCATTTTATTACTTTATAGCACAGTAGTCAGAAATTCAGGTGGTTAAGTTTATCAGAACATTCTTTCAATAGGTGATTGGGAACATCACACTCTAGTATTTCCTTAATGGTTCACATAACACAACCATTCTGTGTGGCTAGCTGAGCACAGGGCACATTTCTACTGCAACCAGAGGGACAGCTGCAGCACTGGTTACTAAATTAGGTCAAGTGACAATAGTGAACAAATTGCAGCAGTGTGGACTTCAGCACAAATTAGCCACTTACCTACCCAAGACTGTAGGTAGACATCTACAGACTGTGCTAGAGCCTGTGTCACATCTCTGTGGCAAGTAAAAAGGTGCTACAGACATACCCAGGCTAGCAGGGGTACAACCAGTAGCCTCATGCAATGGAGACAGCACAAGCCTGCCTGGGATACTCTGTAAATACTTAAGTTACTGAAGCCTGTGCTGCTATCTGTGCTATCTGATTTAAAAAGCTCTCCTCAAATATAATCTACAAGAACTACAAAGACTTTTGGACTACAGTGATGATCTCTCTCTAGTCTCTCCAGCAATGATTCTCAGCCTTTTAAAACTTATGTCACCTCTCCACAACTTTCCTGAATTTAGCAGTACCTCATTTTCCAGGAAGCACATGTAGGACTGGACTGGAAAGATGCTAGGGCTGGAAGGATCATTCCTCTCTGTATTAGGTGTACCCGATAAACCTAATGCAGGCAGAAGCATGCCCTCCTTTCAAGGGTGCCATGGCACTAGCACCAGCACCAACAGTGAGGCCAGCTGAAACTGCTCCACGCACCCGTTCCCAGGAAGCACGTGTAGGCCTGGACTAGGAAGCAGGTGCAGGAGGAGGGGTGCAGACAAACCCAATACCAACAACAACACTGCCTCCTGCTGCACCTGCTTCCCAATCCAGGCCCACCCCTGTATGAGCCTTGGTTTTGGGGAGTTTTTTTGTTTGCCTTTTTTTTTTTTTTAACTTGTTAAGTTTTCCTGAAAACCAAGGACTTTTAACTGCAGCTAGGTGAAACTGCCCTATGCAGGAAGTACTGGCACCGTGGCACCCTTGAAAAGGTCTCTCAGGATCCTGGATGAGGAACACTGCTCTACTGAGCATCTCTCAGTCAAGGGCTCCAGGATGCCATGACTTCGAGTAGGTATTTGTGTACATTTGGTCACTAGATTTTAATGAAGTGTCCAGTACAGTATTAAGCTTGTAACACTTGTAATGTTACCTTAAAGTCACATACTCTCTTACAGCTTTTCAATTACTAACTTCTGTACTATTAAATTACAAGATCAAACTGTGTTCATCACTCATTGCTGACAGGATAATTTGAGATCCCTCTTTGCAGAAAAACAACTGAGGAAGACTTCACTCATCACTCAAATGTAACCACTTTTTAAAAAAAAAAAAATAATAGAACAGACGGGTAAACACCCATTTTCCTTAGATGGACCAGCTGAGTAATACAGGTTCCCCTCGCTTTATGCAGGTTCTGTATATGCGAATTCGCTCTTATGCGATGACCCTTTTTATACCAAAAATTTGTTATACGCAAGGTAAATTCACTCTTATGAGATCGGTGTGGTGGAAGCCCGCAGTTAGCTGCTTTGTGTGCTGCATTGTGGGAGTGACGCGCACCAAAACAGTCTCCTGTGTGGATCTGTGCTCCTCGCTTGTTGTCTGGGACACATAATTAGTGTAGTTTCCATCCCCATTATGGATTCTAAGCGTCCCGATAGCTTCTCTCCAACCCCTCTCCCTGTGCCCGTGTCTACTTTTGTCTGCTGTTGGCAAGTACCAACATTGTCTTGTAAAAGTGGTAGAAATGGATCTGGGGGTCAGTACAGTCGAGGTCTGGGAACATATCCCTATTTGTTACATTGTAAAGTGGGTTCCCTTTATGCAAATTCAAGTTATGCACCATTTTCCAGGAATACATGTACAGCATAAAGCAAGGGAAACCTGATAAGAATAGGGACTACCCAGATGGGATTTTGGGAGCACAGTTACACATGCTAAAACTGTTAATGTTCTTAAACATTAAAAGCCGAGGAAGAACACTGCACATGGACAACAGCCAGACAGGTTTTAATAGTCAGATCAACCATGATTTCTGTAGCTTTCCAGATTACAAGCGCTTGATACTGAACACCTTAACTTTATATCAACCCAAGTAAAAACTAAAAATGAGAGAATCAAGTAATCTGCAACAGTGGGTTCTCAACCTTTTTGAGTCAAGGCTGCCCTCAGAAAATGCCAGATTTGAGTTTTTACTCTCTTTTTGTGGGTGGAAAAAAAAACCAACGAGCAATTCTTTGATTGCAAAAAATTCAGGCAGATCACAACAGGTCAGCGTTTTTACCGCTATAGATGACTATTTGGAAACTCTGGGTTTACCTTGTGAATCATGTTTTCACATCTAACAGTGCTAACATTGCATGGCCCACCACATCCTTGAAAGGATTTGAAGACGTTGTGGGACACCACAAAACCCTGGTTGCGAATCAAGGCTCTTTGGGTAAATCCAATATCTTTTATCAGACCAATTCATATAGCTGGAAAAAAATCTTTGCAAGCTTTCGGGTACAATTACCCTTCAATCAGGCAGAGGAAGCGTCTGCCCGAGAATCATTAATTTAGAGATACATTACTTAAATCACCTTACATATTCTAGCGGCTTTACTATTCCTATAGATTTAGGTTTTCCTAGAATAAATAAAAAAGCAGAACATCAATATAGCCTATGTGCAACATCTATCTAAACAGTTTAGCTTCTCTGTTAAAAGCACACATTCAACTGCTGTAAGAATCACGTGGATGGGCATTTTTAAAACCAAGTGTTCAACTCTTGCTCAAGAGAGGGGTCAAGAGAGTTCAGCCATGATTGAGCTAGTGGCAAAATCTGCATTACATACCCAATACCAAAATTTCCTGAAGACTGGGTAGAACCAGACATCTCTCACAAGACCAAAGTATATAGTTTAACTGGATGCATTTGAATGTTAACATATCTGCTGACTATTTAAACTGGCACTCAGAATGTTATTTCAAAAGAATATTTAAATAAGCAGTCACTATTCTTGATCTTGTGTAGTTTTTGCCTTTTTTTAAATGTGATTCCATCCTAAGAGATGACAAAAGAAAACGTAAAATACATTTCAAGAAAATATTTCTTGTAGAACAAAAAGTTATGATGCAATTCAGTCACATTAAGTTGAGAACAAATTTCCCTCATGCAATTAAAGCTGTTCTGTGTAGTATTAAGCATTTATACCATCATTTATCATTTTTAACTGCAGAAAAGCTGGATCAGAGGACTGCAATTTATTTTTCCAAGTAAAAGTTAACAGGCTTAACAACAAATGTACTGCAGTCCATCAAAATATAAACCAGCGTGCACTGTTCTTCAACCTACATTTTATACACTAATTTACAAACTTAGAATTCTTAACAATTAAAATGCCTGGTTTGCCTTGATTTAAAAAAAGAGGGGGGCAAGGAAGCCAACTTAAGGTGACCAACTTTCATGCACAAAACTTTCCAAAAGTTAGAAAGTCTACCCAAGAAAAGAGAAATGAATGCTTAATGAGAGTTAAGTACAAGCCACAGATAACAGTAACATACTGAAGTCCAAAGTATTACCAACAACTTTCAAAGAGCCTTACAAAAGTGATTTTCCCATAATTTATGGAGAGGAAAACTAGAAAGAGGTTAAATGATCTGCTTACGGACAGAATCAAACCTAAGCCTCCTAGCTTCCAACCCTTCGAATTGTCATACAATGCTTTCTCTAATTAAGACTATTCCTAAACAACAGAAAAAGGTGTTGTGTGTACAGCAGGTAATTATGAACACCTGTTTCCAAGACTGCTAAGAGCCAGCTGTTAGAAAAATCAGTGCAAGCTAAATACATGCAATACAATAGCAACTTGCAAGTTATTAAAAGGTCAAATAAAAACATAAAGGATGATATTTAAGTGAGAACCCTTCATTCTGTTTAAGCCAGGATTTATGAGGAATGAGCATCAATTCTTAGATGCATTAGTTTACACCAGTTTAACCACTGTACAGAGATACTCCAAATTTAAACCAGAATACTAAAGCACAAGTCAGTCCATTTCAATATTAAAACATTAATATTTTAAAGAGCTATAATAAAAATGACCGATTTATCTTTTGAAACCAGAAGCAGCTTTTCCCATTAACAGAAAAAAGATAATGGCATCCCTGGTGAATTAGTTACTGTTGGCATTCAGAGTAGCTCACTAGGCTGCTGAGATACAAAAATGATTTGTCACTCTTATTCCCCAGGCTCTATCATGTGTCTTGCATAGTCTATGAAGGCACATGCATAAGAAGTTTTATTTTTGGCTAAAAGCAGTAACCACCAGCTAACGTCCTAGTTGTAGCACAATGGGTGCTCCAGAGGCAGCTCCAGGAGCATTAAAGAACCACCTCTTTGGGTACATCCAGGTGAGCATTAGGCCTGTGCAAAGTGGTTAGTATTCGTTTCAGATTCAGATCCGGCCAATTGAGGGGACAGCAATTCGATTCAGTGATTTGAATCACTGTCTCGATTTGGCCGAATCAGCCAGACCAGGCCCATCCCCACCAGCCTGGCAATGGCTGCTCCACCTGCCCCAGCTCCTGGCACTTGTTAAAAAAAGCCCCGACTCAGCAGATGCTG